GAGAGAGAGAGAGAGAGAGAGAGAGAGAGAGAGAGAGAACTAGAGGGAGGCAGGGAGGAAGGGAGAGAAAGAATGAAAGGAAGAAAATTGGAGAGAGAGAAGCCAAAGGAGACCTATTATACTGGTTGAGACTATTACCCTGAGATAGTCTTCAAACCTTGAACGGAAACCAACCTTGAGGTCAGTTTATAGATCAATAACAAAGTGACTAAAAAATAATACCACCTGTAAGTACTGTGTTCCTTTGAAATAAAATCACCTCTAGGAAAGCAAGTGGTCAACAATGACTTTGAAACAAAGATGAGGATGTAGGGGGCAGGGACACGAGGAGAATGGAGATGGGAAATAACAACTTCACTGGACAACCCGGGGAGCAATTGTTGAATGGAAAGCGGACTGCTGTGCAAACCTTCACCCCAAACACAGTCAAGCATGATTCCAAAAGACATGCCAGGAACCCCTGAGACTATGGCCCTGAGAGAACTGTTACACCTTAAGCCAAAAATGTCCTCTGAGGTCATCTTAAAACTGCAGGAAAACAAACAAACAAACACCTGCATGAGTTTAGTCTGTTGAGGTTTTTCTCTATTTCATTTTGTTTTTGTATGTTTTTTGGTCTCTGAAAACCAGCCTGGGTGAATCTAGAGTAGTGGTTCTCAACCTTCTTAATGCCGTGACCCTTTCATACAGTTCCTCGTGTGGTGGTGACCCTCAACCATAAAATTATTTTTGTTGCTACTTCATCATCACTGTCATTTTGCCCCTGTTATGAATCAGGTGACCCCTAGGAAAGGGTCGTCCGACCCCCAAAGGGGTTGTGACCTGCAGGTTGAGATCCGCTGATCTACAGAGGTGGTAGCTTGTTTCCCTGGTTCCTTGGGGTTGTGGCACGGGAGGTCGGTGGTGGTGGGGAGGAGGAGTGGGGAGCTAATGACAAAGAGGACAAGAAAGAAGGAAGTGTCCTAAAACCGATGGTGGTGATGATTGTACGACTCTTCTTGATATGACTGAACGATTGAATTGTCTGATAGGTGGATTATGTCCCAATGAAACTGTTAAAAAAAGAAAAAGGTCTGCCTTGAGCAACAACGTGCTCTTTGAAGAACTGGCTGTCAAATCAACACCATTCGCTCCAGCCTGCCTGGGGCGACCCCACACACTAGACGGGAAACGGAGGAGGCGGTGAGTTGATGCTAACAGACAGGGCGCAGCTCAGAAAAGGAGGGTGAGGATGAGGGCACACGCAAAGAATTAAATGAACATCATGAAACTGCACGTGTAGAAACGGTTGAATAGGGGGGTATTTCCCTGCGGATACTCTCAACTACGTCAAAATAAAATTTAGGGTGTGTTTGTGTGTGTGTGGGGGCAGATACACGAGGATATAAAAAACCAAAACCCAGACTCACTGCCATCTCCCGGTTGTGATTCATAGTGCCCCGATGGGACAAGGTAGACCGGTCCCTGTGAGTTTCGGAAACTGTAACTCTTTATGGTAGTAGAAAGTTCTATCTTTCTCCCAAGGGTGGTTTGGAACTGCTGAACTTGCAGTTGGCAGCTCAACTCTTAACCACGATGCTACCAAGGATCCTTCTAGCCACAAAAATACAGGCAGGGGCATGCAAACCACAGCGGTCCGCTTGAGCAGAGGCGTGGGAATGGAATGAGATAAAGGGTGGCATCTCTCTACCTGGGCGTGGCTGAAGAATTGCACTGCCACAGGGTTGCGTTGGAGCACGATTTCCACACTCTGAAATCTAGGATTTGCAGTGGTGCCGTGAAGAACGTGCAAGTGCCGGGCTTTGGTTCTTGTTTTTCTCATACTTGTCAATACCAGCTCAGCAGGTCCAGTTCTGGATCCAGAATGCTGTGGTATCTAAGACCAGGGGGCCACTCTTGTCCCCCTGAAGGCAGCGCCAGATGGCACTCTCCAGCCAGGCCCACACCAGGCCTCAGGCCTTCCCAGAGCCTCCAGACAGTGGTTGGGTTTTGGGCACTAGCTAGCAAATAATCAAGTCAGGGAGGTGCTTCTCCAACCAGGCAGAGAAGAGCGGCTGCCCTGCTCTAGGTAGGTGGTCCCTGGACCCTGGTCTGGGTCTGAATCAAAGGGGATGGAGTATCTAGGGTCCTGGGTCCCATGGAAGAGATGCGAACAATGTCAGAGAGCCTTGTCTCTTGTCAGAGAGCCAGGGAGACAGCCAGGACCCAGAGAGTAGATAAATCCACGGACTGTGTGGGTGTGAGTCCGTGGAAACTTCCTGGCACTCAAAAGTAGTGAGTTGGCACTTTCCAACTCACTGTGAGTCTGGGAAGAAGGACAAAAACTTGAAGTAGACAAGCCCAGAGGGAGAAGAGGAATTCTGAATTCTGTTTTTAATGAACTCCGCTGCTATTTTATTTTTGAAATCATTTTATCAGGAGCTCCTACAGATATTATAACAATCTATAGTTGGATTAGATCAAGCATAATTATACAATTACTGCCATCATAATTTTCAAAAGTTTATTCTTGAACTCTTTGATGTCAGCTCCCCTTTATCTCCTCCTGCCCTCACCCTGCCCCTGCCAGGAACCCTTATTCTCATATTAGAAATAATGATAATAATTTTTGCCATATCTCACACCATTCACTGTATCCGTGCACCTACAATTCTGTTATTCGTTCTCCTCCAGTGGGGTCAAATAGCCATCTTTGCTCTTGGTTTCCCCCTCCCCTTCCCGTACCCCTAGGGAATCGTTGCTCCCATTACTATTTCTGATGGGTTTACCTACCTTGGATTTCATGCATCTGACGATCTTCATTATATAAATGAGCATTACACAGGTCTAGCAAGACCAATGAGGTAAAACTGAGACCATAACAGTAAGGGGAGGAAATATTAAAGAACTAGAGGATAGTTATGTGTTTCATCGGTGCTTTATATTGCTCCCTGGATATCGCTTCCCTCCCCTGTGGCCCTTCCGTGAGGGACTGTCCAATTGTCTGGCAGGTGGGTTTGGGTCTCCACTTTGTCTACACTTCCTCACGTCCATTTGATTGCTTGGTTTTGGACTTATGATACGATTCCCGTCGACACCTCGTGATCACACAGGTCGGTGTGTTTCTTCCATGTGGGCTTTGTTGCATCCCTGCTAGATGGCCGCTTGTCTACCTCCCCAGGTCCCCTCTCTTCATCTTGAAAATGAAGAGAAGGCTGCCCTTCCCCCCCTGGAGGCAGGAAGATCAGCGCTTGCCAAGGTTAGCTGGGGCCAGCCTTGACACCAACTCTCACTTTAAGAAGAGTGGGGGTGGGGTGGGGGGCTGCACCCTGAGCCTGGAAAACCCTCTTCCTTCTTGGCCAAGTGCACTCCATCCTGCTCTTCAAGGTCCAGCAGAGTTACCACTTTGCCTGGGGCGTCTTCTAGAGTCTCCTCCTGGGGAACCCTGCACCCCCCCACCCCCCCCACCCCCCCAGCCCCTTAACTTTACCACCAGGATCCATACCGTACTGCAGTGCAGTTCTACATTGACAGGTCTTGCTGTCATCCTATGCGGGGCCTGGGCTGGTCGTGCTGTGCCTAAGGCACGGGGCTGCTCACCCACTCTCCACTCCGAAGGAGAAAGACGTGGTGACACAACAACAACAAAATCACAGCTGCGAACCCTCCCCCACCCCCAAGAGTTCTCCTCTGACCTATAGGGTCTCTGTGAGTGAGGGCAGAGAGAGAAGGCTTTGTGGGCAGAGTGGGGCTGTGTGTGACATGCCACCCACTGGTGTCTCTTTGGACTCTTTCAGAGCCTGGTTCTCCCACCCTTTGACCTTCACAAGACATCCTCTTGCTGGATGAAGTTTGGGGCAAAGGTTTTGGAGGAAGAAAGACAGGCCCCTGCCAAGGAGTTTCTCCTTGCTTCCTTCTAGGGCTGGTGGAGAGACTTCAGCCATGCCCACCCCCTCCCTCCCATCACCCAGCGCTGACCACATCCCTGTCACCGCCGGTGCCTGCTGGTCCCGCCTCTCCCTGGGCTCCTGTCTGTGCCCACAGTGTCCTGCCTGGCTCCTGAGCTGCCTCTCCAGTGCCCGCATTCCTGCAACCCCGTGACTACACGGGACGTTACACATTCCTGGCCTGGCAGCCAGTGGTGTAAAAAGGAACAGAATGTCCCCGGGCCCGCCCAGCCCCTTGCTGCACCTGGGCCCCTCCCGGGCCTGGCCTCGGAGGAGGGCATGTGGGGAAGGAAGAGGGTGGACCGCAAGGAAGAGACGGAGGTGTTGTCCCGCAGGGTGAGCGCAGTGGAGCAGTCAGGAAGCGCTCCCGCTCTCAGGAGCAGGGAGGAACCTTGGGGAACTCGCCTCCTTCCCGTCCCAGACCCGGAGGTGTGGCTAACCCCCAATGGCCCTGGAGAGGTTCCCAAGGAAGGGGGACTCTGGAAGGCCACTAGGGTTCCCGCCTTGCTGTCCTGCCCGGCTCACTCCTCTCACTTCCTTGAGGAGATGATGCTCCGTGCACCCGCCCGCCCTCCTCCCGCTCAGCTCTCACCCCGCCAACCATCGATCTCCCTGAGTCCATCGCCTTTGTTCCTGGTTACCCACTCTGCGCTCACGGGGCAGCACCGTCCCTTTTCTGTCTCCCCGTCAGTGCCTCGGTCCACGCAGTTTCTCAGAACCCTCTCCCAACCAGCTAGTGCTGCCCGGCTCACCTACCCTTCGGGCCCTCCTCCCATTGGAGAACAGCCAGCTCAGACTCCTCCTTGTCCCCACCCCCTGTCCTGCTCACCTTTAATTGAGATGCTAATGAGGTCTCCGTCACTCCCGTCCTCAGGCGGCTGGCAGGGCGGGCGGGCTCCCAGACCAGGCCTTTGCACCTGTCAGGTGAGGGGGAGGAGAGGCTCCGCTGCCAGATTCAACTGGAAAGGAACCAGTCCCAGCCCAGTCACACCTGGGAGTGTGGAGCTGGAAGCAGCACAGACCCCGGGCACAGAGGGAGTCAAGACACAGCCCAGGGGCCACAGCCCAGACAAGAGGGCAGGACTCCGATCTGGAGAGGGAGAGGCAGGATCAGAGAGGCCACAAGCCTCAGAGAGGAGACAAGCCAGCTGAGCAAGACACCCTGGGAGAACCAGACAGCAGAGAGAGAGAGAGAGACAGAGAGAGAGAGAGAACCTGAGGGAAGAAATCCAAAGAAAGTGACTGGCTATTGTGGAGACAGAGTGGGAGGTACTGGGGCAGAAACCAAACGGAGTCCCGACGAGGGACGGAGAGGAGGGCCACTCCAGGGAAGCCCGGCTCCAGCTCTTCTGGCCCTGACTACTGCAGGTCAGCTGGCTCCCAGGAAGATGGAAGGAGGGCAGGAGAAAGGCAGGGGTGGGAGGAAGCCAGCTCAGGGTCTCCTTGGGAGTTCAAGGTGGTGATGGGAATGGGGACCCAGAGCCCAGACCTCGGCCCTAACCCTTGCCCTTGTCCTCCCCAGCCCACCCTAGAGGTCATGAAGGGGGACAAGAGTGAGGAGCAGGAGCGGGGTCCCGAGCCTCAGGCCCCCAGCGGGCGCACGGAGGAGGAGGAGGAGGCCCTGATCGAGTTTCACCGCTCCTACCGAGAGCTCTTCCAGTTCTTCTGCAACAACACCACCATCCACGGGGCCATCCGGCTGGTGTGCTCCCAGCACAACCGCATGAAGACGGCCTTCTGGGCCGTGCTCTGGCTCTGCGCCTTCGGCATGATGTACTGGCAGTTTGGCCTGCTGTTTGGGGAGTACCTCAGCTATCCTGTCAACCTCAACATTAACCTCAACTCGGACAAGCTTGTCTTCCCGGCCGTCACTGTCTGCACCCTCAACCCTTACAGGTCAGTGCCGCCTCCCTGCCTCCCGCATTGCCTCCCACGGTGGCTTGGCTTCCCTGTTGAGGCACGGAGGTGCTCGCTGGGCAGCTAGACCCTCCATCCCTGGCCTGCTGGACCGGCATCTCTGTCCAGTGGAGCGCCCTGAGCCCCCAGGGCTTTGTCCACCGTGTGGCTCTTGGTCCAACAGCCCACTCTTCCCCGCTCCCCTTCTCTGCCCCAGAAGTGGGAGGAAGTGCTGATGAGATCAAGAGGGGAAGGTACTGAAACAGCTCCATGCCTTCCCTGGAGCCACGTGAGCCACAGAACAAGGTCTCCTCAGCCTCCAGGAGGAGCGGGGAGGGGAGGGCCAGTGGAGCCACGGGCAGGTGCCGTGGTGGTAGGTGGTGGGAGCCGGTCAGTCTTGGCTCAGAAGAGGAGTTTGTCTTGGACAGAGCAAAGTGGGGTGCCAGGGGTTCGAGCCACAAAGCCATCCGTGAGGTCTGAAAAAGGGACAGGATTGGAAGCAGTCCCTTGGCAAGCTGTCCCCAAAGACCCAGGCTAAAATGTTATGGCCTGCACGTTCACCTGCCCACCCAGGGCTTGGGTGTGTCCTGGAGTTTTGAGTGTCATCACCGCGCTTTGCCAGTTTTGGGTCTGGAAGCCGAAGGGGGTGGTGACCACGGAGTGGAGAGGAGGGCAGGGCTGGGTGTTTCTATGTACCTTTCGTTTGTCTTCGCTCAGCCATGCCACACCTTGGGAACACTTGCGTCAAACCAGATGCAGTGCTGGGGATCTGGTCAAATGGGTCCATTAGCAACCCATGTTGTCCTCATAGAAAGGTTCCCAGGGACCCAACAGGTGGACCTTGGTTACTCACCGAAAGGTTGGGGGCTTGCACCCACCAGCTTCCCCTCGGAAGAAAAGGCTTGGTGCTTCTGTCAAGATGACAGGCAAGAAAAGGCCAGGAGTTGAGGCAGACTCGATGGCACCAACCATCACCACCGTAACAGCCACATCTTTGTTGAAGGCCAGGTACTCCACTAGGTACTGGGGACCAAACGGGACCGAGGAGGCAGGCATATCCGCACAGTTCAGTGCACTGTGGGAAGAGGGTAGAAGTGGTGTGAGTTGTAGACATTGGCTTCAAGAAGTCCTTGATGAGTGCTTGTGAGTGAGTACGAATGGGTGTCTGTGTCTGTGAACACACATATTGATAGGTGTCTTATCATGGGTGACTGAAACGATCACATGCTGTGGTGGACGCTGACCTCGGTTCTGGTGTGTCCCTAGGGGTGTCATGGAGTCGTAAGGGCTGGGACTCTTCTGTTGGGTCATTTCATTGACTGACCGCCAGGTAACATCCCTCTGGTGACTGGGTGGGTTACACACTGGGCAGCTCACTGCAAGGTCAGCAGTTTGAAACTGCCTGCTGCTCCTCGGGAGAGAGATGAGGCTTGTCTATTTCCTTAAGAAGTTACCGTCTTGGAAACCCACGAGGACAGGTCTAGCCTGTCTTATAGGGGAGGATGGTTGGAATGGACTCAGAGGCTGTGAGTTTGGCTTGGTTTGGGGACATCCAGGACAGGGACCTTTGACTCAAAAGCTGCTCTGCACACCAGACATGGCGTCTCATTTAATTCTCAGGACAATCCTACAAGGCAGGTACTATTATTATTAAAATCATTTTATTGGGGGCCTGTACAACTCTTATCACAATCCATATAGCCATCCATTGTGTCAAGCACATTTGTGCATTTGGAGGCCGGTACTATTATTATCCTTATCATACTGTTGAGGAAACTGTGGCAAAGAGAGACCAGTCACAGGTCACCCAGATAACAGGGGACCTCCTTGCGACTCACTCTCTGTTTGCCTAACCACAAAACCCTGCCTCTTTCTAAGACCAAGACGTAAGACAGGGAATGCATGAAATTTCCAGTCAGATATCAGCTCTCTCTGTTTAGGCGCCCCACTTTGCTTTCTTCCCTTGCGCTGGTCTCTGTGTCCTTGGTGCCTGCAGGCACCCTGGTGGCACAGGGTCAAGTGTTGGGCTGCTACCCCAAAGGGTCAGTGGTTCAAACCCACCAGCTGCTCTGTGGGAGAAAGATGTGAAAACCTGCTTCCATAAAGATTTAGAACTTTGGAACTTCTCTAGCCTATAGGGTCACTATGACTCTACCCAAAGACGGTGGGATTGATTTTTGGTGCCCTTGGGCTTTGCTCCTCTCTTTCTTCCCCTCCCCTCCCTGGTCCCCTCAGGCCATGGTGGAGGAACCAGCTACCAGCTTGGCCGGAGCCAGCCGCAGGCAGTGGGTAGGGGCGTCAGGCTATGCAGCCGGCATTCAATAAATATTTGGGATGGAAGAAGAGATGTTACTAGAGCTGAAGAGGCCAGAATAGATCCGTGGAAGCTGGCATCTTTCCTGAAGTGCCGCGGGGTCCAGGAAAAGGCCCTTCGGAGTAAGTACCAAGGCCTCTCTGCCTCTAGAGACTTGCAGGTTGGGGAGACCCACATCCATACAGATAGAACCCCACCCACAGGAGGGGCTAGAGTCCCTAGGGTGCAAGAGGCTGCTGCAGTTGTTAGGTGCCATCAAGTTGGCTCTGACTCACAGTGGCCCTGCGTACGAAACGACATGACTCTGTCCAGTCCTGCGGGAGTTAGGACACTGTCCAAACTCCCGGGAAGAGAGGGGATCAGGGAAGGCCCTGTAGTCAGGGGAGGAGATTTGAACACCTACAATATGCTTGACACTGGGCTGAGTGCTATATAAACCTACCCCATTCAAGGAGATAAAAACATTGACCTCGCACCCAGCACCCACTGCAATCCAATCCATTCTGACTCACGGGGACTCTATGGGACATGAGAGGACGGTCCTTGTGAGTTTCTGAGAGTGTAACTGTTTATGGGAGTAGAAAGCCCGTCTTCCCCTGGCATCCAGTACAGAGTGGAATGTACAGTAAATCTCCTCCCCTTGAGCTAGAGAGCCTGTGTGAGCCTCTCCCTTCCTGGGTGTTTGTAGCCTCCCAACTCCTGCAGGACTGGACAGTGTTTTGAGTCCTGGAGGCATCGTGGGTTATGTATTGGGCTGCTACCTCCAAGGTCAGCGGTTCGAAACCACCACGTGCTCCTCAGAAGCAAGATGAGGCTTTCGACCCATAAAAGAGTTACAGTGTCAGAAACCCACAGGGGCAGCTCTGTCCTGTCCTAGCAACTTGATGGCAGTGAGTTTGGTTCATTTTTTATGTCCATTCAGGACCACATGCTTGCTAAATTAGAAGCCGAGCGAAGAAGAGAAGACCCTCCTGGAGGTGGGTTGACACAGTGGCTGCAACAGCACAGCGGGCTCACACATCTCAGCGGCTGTGATGATGGTGCAGGGCCAGGCAGCGCTTCCTTCTCTTGTAGTTGCACTTGCTACGAATGGGAACCACCTGAGGGGCACCTAACAGCAGCCGTCACGCAGGCAGGGATTATTAGTTCTAGTTTGCTGATGAGGAAATTGAGGTTCAACAGGTGACAGAATCTGATCAAAGTCAGACAGCGAATCATCATCAAAAGAACAATAACAACAGACACACGTACTGTTTGATACGTACCAGCCACTTCGACAAATTAACATCAATCATCTGAGGCCGTTCGGTCCTCGACATACATTGTCTCCTGAATGGGGACGCAATGGCGCCCATGTTCTGGATAAGGGCTCCCAGGCTCACAGAAGTTGAGTGAGGAGATGGCGAAGAAACTGGGATCCCCAAATCAACCCCCCACACCTAGGAGTTAGCAGTCTCGAGTGAGTAGTTGAGTCACCAAACCCAAGTGTGCTTGATTTCAAAGCTCTTTCTCCTATTGCAGGGGAGAGCCAGGGCCCCGGCACCCTGGGAATGGGCCAGCCAGTAGGAAGGGCAGGTTTTCATCCACATACAGGAGGGAAGGTCCGTGTTTGGCTTCCTGCTGGAGGAGAGAGGTGGGTGGATAGCGCCAGAGAGGTGGTGACCTGGGTCTGAATCACCAGAAATGGCCGTGGGTGGGGGAGGCAGTGGCTGAGATGAGAGATTCCTTTGAAGGGAAGCAGGGAGGAGGTGGGAAGCCTTGGGGGAGAGAGAGGAGGAAGGAGCACCTGAGCCTGCAGCGAGGCAGTCAGAGCAGGGCTACGCATGCGTTCTGTCCGCACAGGGCATGGACAGGAGAGCGCTGGAGCCTGCAGAGCTGGCACTGGTGGAGGTGCAGGAGTCTTGTGCTGCTCAGCACCTTCCCAGAAAGGGGAAAGAGAGGCCATCCGTCCTGCCTCAGAGAGGAAGCGCTAATCATTCAGCCACAAGCCTCCACCTTTGGAGTCCCTTTTATTCAGGCCAAGAAAGAGTTTGTCACCCAAGGCAGAGAGCCAGTCACAGGCATGACCTCTGAAAACAGAGCACCAGGACATAGTTTCCATTCGTCCTGGCAGGGATTTAAGGATGCACTTGGGCTTCCTGGACCACAAGGGTGGCCACAGCATCTTCTTTCTGGAGATGGCAGGGCGGGGCACATGGCAGCAGGAGTAGGTGAGGAAGGGCGGTGTTTCAGAGAAAGAAGCTGCATATTTACCTGGCAGGGGAGATACCACGATCACAGAGAGAGAAGCTGCAGGGAGTGGGGAGTGGGGGAAGGAGCTGGGGGTGGGGGTGGTGAGGGACTGGACATCAGGCTCTGTGGGGCAGGCTTAGCAGGGAAAGTCAGTCCAGTATCTTGGAGCTGACACCCCAAGTTCTGTTTTAGGTAAAGCTACCATTTATCCTGGTTCTTTCTCCTCCGCCCTTACATGTTCCCATGCAGTCATGACAGCATCACTGCTCTGCGGTCTGCAAAGGCCACGGTCATACTTGTACTTTCTGTCGCACATGTGTTAGGGAAGGAGGGCTAAGGTTCTGGCACACCCTCCCTCCCTCCAGCATGATCATCTTCTTAAGCAGGTACTCTGATTCGTTCCCTTTTATAGATGATGACGAAGAGGCACTGTGGTAGTCACCTAACCTGATGTCAATTTAAGGATTAAGGGTGTAGGGGTGGAGTCTAGGTTGTCAATATGGAGATAGCCATTGAGACTTCTGTGTGGGCATGGCCTTCTGGGAAATCTGGTACTCCCTCCTTGGAGGCGGAAGACGCTGCTCTTTCTCTGCCACTTCCTGGGAGACATTGCAGAAGACAAGCCACATGGATGCAACCAGACCTCTGAAGCCGGAGAAGCCACAGAGAGACCCCTGCCAGCCCTGAGATGCTTACAACGCCACTGGACCCAAGGACTTTCTACCCACTGGCTTGTGATGGTCCTGCATTTGGCTTCATTGCATGTGTTTCATGAGTCTGAAGAGGATTTTATAGATTGATATCGGACATATGGGCTAATATCGAACTTATGGACTTGATCTAGACTGGGCTGGGATGTTTTCTCCATGTTCAATTGCTCTTGTATATAAACCTCTCCCTTATATACATATGCATGTTTATGAATTTGTTTCTCTAGTCTACCCAGACTAACACAGGAACAGAGAAAATACATAATTGGTGATCTCCTATCATAAAGATTAAAACCAAGCCCACTCGGGTGTCTCGGTGTCTGAGGCTGGGAAACATTGCAGGACCAGATCGCCTCATTTTTTCCCTGCCACTCGGTTGGTGGGTTTGAACCAGCCTTTTCAGCGGGGAAAACCCTATGGAGCTGTACTGCTCTGTGTTGCCACTATCTGTCATAGTCTCCAGGAACCACTGCGGTGAATGAATGAACCCACAGAGGCCGTCAGAATCCGGAGGGACTATTTGACAGTCTGAACGCTGGTGTCCTAACTTGTGAGGTCCTATCTAGAGAGGATGGAGTCGTGGGAAAGGGAGCGGACTGGTTCCGTTTCCACACTTGGGGAATTGGATTCCTGCTGAACCTTACCACAGGATAGTGAGGACGGTGGGATTTAGTGCCATGGTTAAGCATTCGCCTACGAAGCAAACGATTGATGGTTTGAACCTAAGAAGGTCGTTCTGTGGGAGAAAGACCTGGTGATCCGCTTCTGTAAAGAGTATAGCCTAGAAGCCCCTGGCTTAGCGCTACTACAGTTTACCCAGCAGCCAATTTTCTTAACTTTCAATGCAAAGACTCTGTTTCCCATGATAGGAATTTCAAATATTGGGGGGTGGGGTGGGATTTCTGTTTTGAGGGGGCAGTCTGCTAGTGCTTCTTCCTGTGTTAAGCCCGACAAGGTAGGGATAGAAGTAGACCTTGGAGGATGAGGGGCTCAGTCTGGAGCCTGACCTCTCCTCTCGTGGAGTGTGTGTTTGGGTTGAGGAGGAGGTAGGAAAACCCAAGCTTGGCAGATCGGGTTGCGGGGTGTGTGTGTGTGTGTGTGTGTGTGGTGGGGCTGGGGGTGGGCTGGTTCTGAAAGAGCCAAGAGGAGGGGCATGGAGAGCAGAGCCTGGCAACAGGGTAGCATGGAACTTGAGGGGAGGGATGGGATGTGGCCAGAGAAGGGATAGACAGGTTGGAGTTGGTCACAAGTTACGTCTGAGTCTGGTCACTAAGTCTGCCCAGGTTGGTCTTCTCTTCCATTGGATTTTGGCCTTTCTCATCGAAATCTCAGCCTGTCATTTTCTTCCAGGCTGGTGACCTTTTGATAGGGATGGGGTCGATGCCAAAAACCTTGCATCTTTCCCTCCAAGCTGATTTCTCTCAGCAGGGATTTGGCGTTTCAGCGCCGGCTGTGGTCTGGTGCAACTTTGGTTAGATCGCCCGGCCTAGGTGTCTGATGTTGTTTGCGCTGTTTTAAGGGCTATGGGTTTTGTGATGTGCCTCTGTTACGAGTCTACTGACCATGCAGTACCCGGGGTGCTGACACCCAAACGCTCTGGAGTCAAGGCTGCCTGGAGCAGGACAGTGAGGGTTTGAACCAGTCAGAGCTTAACTGAAGCTCTTTAAATGGAATCTCTTCGGGGGTGGGCTTGGTTGGGTGGGCGGGGGAACGGGAGGGGGCAAGTGTCTCTGGCGTTTTAAAACTGTCCTTGAGAGATTCTAGACCCTGCAGTCTTAGGGCCTGTTTCCGAAGGTGTCCTGGGGCCCCTGGGAGTTGGCGGTTCGACCCCCCAGCCAGAGGGCGAAAGCTGAGGCTGGGAACCCCTGCGTGGGTTGGTCACTCGGAGTCAGCATGGACTGGATGGCAGTGGGGCTCTGGTGGCAGCCCCAAGCCCCAAGGCCTCTCTCTTTGCCAGGCCAGAAAGAACAGAAAAGCTCCGTGTTTCCTTTAAGGTCCTGCCCTTGGGAGAGGAGCACCCGCCTACTGGCACCTCCTGCCCCTCAGTAAACAGGCGACAACAAATGCAGTCTCTGAATCCTCGGGGACACTCCTATCTGCACCTCTGCCCTTCACCCCGCAATGATAGCCTTGGGGCCCTTGCGGGGACACCCCCTAAACTTCAACGCCCTCCCCCACTCTCGGGGTGAACCGACTTGGCCGCCTACAGACCAGGCAGGCTCAGAGGAGGCAGAGGCTCGCCCAGGGCTCCCTCCAGTGCGACCCTTTCCCCGCCGTCGCCCCGTCCAGGTACACCGAGATTAAAGAGGATCTGAAGGCGCTGGATCGCATCACGGAGCAGACGCTCTTCGACCTGTATAAATACAACTGCTCCCACTCTCTCGGGGCCCATCCTCCTCGCGGCCGCCGCAGCCTCCCCCGGGCCCTGCCGTACCCGCTGCTGCGCCTGCCGGGGCCGCCCCCGTCCCCCCGGGCCCGCAGCGCCTCCTCCAGCGTGTGGGACAACAACCCCCAGGTGAACAGGAAGGACTGGAAGATCGGCTTCCAACTGGTGAGGCTCCGCCCCGCGCCCCGCCCCTTCGGGCCCCGCCCACCCGGGCCCCGCCCACTCCCTGGGGTTCGCTTTCTGCTCTGATACCCCGCTCTGCTGCCCAGCTATAGGGAGCGGGACTTCTTTGGCTTGCTGGCCCTGAAGACTTGGACAAGTGAGTGAGTGTGTGAGTGACACGTTTTGTGGAGTTCTCTTAAGCTGCCCTAGTAGAGGAGTGGGTTATGTATTGGGCTGCTCATGGCAACATCAGCAGTTTGAATCTATCAGCCGCTTTTCGGGAGAAAGACGAGGCTTTCTGTTCATCTACAGACTTGCCCCCTTCCTGGGGGCCGTTCTGCTCTGTGCCCTCGCCTCACTCTAAATAGGAATCTACTGGGAGGCAGTGAGCTCCGGCTTGTTTCTGTGGAGTCCCCCCGCTGGGGGCTTGAGTGAAGTCTAAGGAATAAAATCGAGTATGGAAACAGCTCCTTGCAGAATTCCAGGGGGGTCACCACCCAATGTATCACCCCCTGCCCCTAAATGTAGTCTCCCCAACTCCCCACTACCACACTCCCTGTTGAGCTGCAATTGGGAGCCTCCAGCGTGGTGGGGAACTTGGGCTCTGGTAGCCCAAGGGAAGGATAAAGAGCCAGTGAAAAGGGAGAATTTAATAATAATAATAGAATGCAGTTAGTATTTTAAAGACTAGTTACTTTAGTATTTTAAAGTTAGTGTCAAATGCCACTGGCATTTGAATGTCATAAAACTCCCCTCACTTTGCAAAGACCAGGGAAAGACGGTGCACATACCGCCATCACCTTCCTTCACTGAAAAACCTTCAAGCCTCTGCTTACAGTAAACCCCAAACCCACTGCCCTGGAGTTCAGGCCAACTTATAGGGATCCTATAGGCCTCCCCTGGCTGAAATCCTTAAAAGTGAGGCTGAATGGGGACCGTCTGCACCATTTTGACTTCCTACAAATTTCACTTCCAGATTCATCCCGGAACCAGTCTCTAGTATTGTGGGACTGCCTGTAGAGATCAGGAGAGTGAGAGAAAGACACAGGAGAGGAGCAGAGGGGATGAAAGATGGGGTGCCCTCTAGTGAGAGTGGCTGTTTCACAGGAATCGTGGGTTCTGGTCCCCGCTCCTGTCGCTGCGACAAATGGGGGGATCTCACAGGGAGCCAACCCGGTGGAGTAGGGCGTGCTCCTTGCCCATCTTTTAGAGTTGTGAACCCAACAGCAACCCTGTGTGTGTAGCTCCTGGTCTCAGCCCCCGACCCTCAAACCAAACTCCTTACCACTGCCCTGACTCAGACTCGGTCAACTCTGTTTCAGAATAGAACTGGGACCCATAGACTTTTCATGGCTGTGACCTTTTGGAAGTAGAGCACCAGGCTTTTCTTCTGAGGAAACTGTGTGTGGATCCAAACCACCAGCATTTAGTAGTTGGGTGCTTACCCATTTGTGCCCCTCCCCTTTGTCCGTCACCTCTGTCCCCCATCCCGGCCTCTCCTGGTGCATTCTCTATCTGGATGGCTGCTTCTCTCCCCTCTGCTACTTCTTCCTTCCCTGCCTCTGACTCCTTAGCCTTGATCTTGGCCCCGGCCTCTTGCCTGGCCCCTGGTGCTGGCCCTCTGACCGCCTGGTCTCTTTATCCAGTGCAACCAGAACAAATCCGACTGCTTCTACCAGACCTACTCATCTGGCGTGGATGCGGTGAGGGAATGGTACCGTTTCCACTACATCAACATTCTGTCCCGAGTGCCCGAGGACTCGCCCTCCCTGAAGGAAGACACACTGGGCAGCTTCATCTTCGCCTGCCGCTTCAACCAGAACTCCTGCAGCCAGGCGTGAGTCCTCCCCACCTGGCCCTGTGCTCTCTGCAGAGCCCCTTCCCTTGGCCAGGACCTAAGACATGCTTGTGGATTAAAGAACCGCCTGCCAGCAAGGAAGGAGGAAGTATGATTTCAGGTTCCCACCCCCCCACCGGGGGTGGGGGAGGGGGAGCACCCTGCAGACTTCTGCCCACCCCGCCCCGCCCTGCAGGGCAGCTCCATCTGGGTGGTCTGGGGAACACACGCAGGCCTGTCGTTCTGACTTTGAGAAGCCAAGGGCTGGAAGTCCGGTTGTCTACATCTTTCTGGGGCCTCTTTCTCGCTGGCATCAAAGCTCAAATGGGCCTGGACAAGGGGGGCCGGGGGGAGCCCATGCCCAGTCCTCAGAGGAGGCAGGCACAGGTGGGAACAGCCCGGCATCGAGGGACCCTACCTGAGTTCCAGCTCTGGCTCTGTGACTTCCTGGTTGGGTGACTTTGGGCCTCGGTTTCCTTATTGATCAGCCGCATGGGGCAGCGGGGAGGGCAGAGAAGACACGGTCAATGTTCATTCGACACATGTCTTTGAATGTCAAGACCATGTGCTGGTCACTGTTCTCAGCACGGGAGGTGCATAAAAAACAACCACAAAGCTCCTTGTCCTCTTGGCCCTTTGACTCAAATGGTGGAGATGATTGCACCTCCCCCCTCAAGAGTTAGACCACTTTCCAGATGACAAATGTGAGGGTCCTCTGTAAGTCACCGTATTTGGAGAAAGTAGAGTCTCATTACTTTTGCACTCAAAAAACGGAAAGTGGCTTGTCCAAGGTCGCGGGCATTCCCGGGACTCTTTCTTCTCTATCGTAATGCCTGCCAGTCGTACTTTCTGTGGCCATCCCTTGTCATCATATCCCCACAGAGAGGTCACAGTGAGTGCCAGCTCTGGGGGACCGGGTGAGGCAAGGAGGGAGGGAGGTCCCCTTCTGCAGCCTCTGGCCTCTCTTGCCCTTATGTCCTCCCCCCTCTGCCTCTGCCGGCCTGAGGAGGATCCCAAGGCAGCACTCGTTCCCTCCTACGTCCCTGGAGATTGGCAGCAGGGCCAGGTGTCACCTGCTTCTGCCTCCACCCCTGGCACCCTCCCTTGCTCAGCACACAATTTGGCTGCTATCTTTGGGCTTGGTGTTTGTTTGAGGACAAACGCTGCCAGCTGGGATATGCGGCAGTGTCAGCACCTGAGCCTGGGTCAGCCCACACTTGCTACTTGGGATTTGATCTGGTCCTCTTTGCTATTCTGAAACCAGTGGCCCTGGGGGCCCTGTCGTTAAACATTGGACGGCTCGCTGAAAGGTTGGCGGTTTGAACCCACCGGTTGCTTCCCAGGAGAAAGATGGAGCAATTTGCTTCTGTAAAGATTACAACCTTGGGAACTTTGTCAGAGTTCTGAGTTAGCCAGAATTTGGTTAGAATCAGAATCCTTCGATCTCTCTCCTGGCTGTTGGAATCGAGCGGCAGCTCTTTAGCATGGTTTCTTTTTCAACCCTACCATCCGACACCTTTCTGCCCGCTCCCTGTGATCTTGTGTGTGTGTGTGTGATTTATTTTTCTTGTTGAGGATGCGCACCACAGAACGTACACCAATTCAACAATTCCTCCATGTACAATTCAGTGGCACTCACAACCTTGTTGTTGTAAATAGGTGCCGCCCAATCATTCTCATCCTTCTTTCTGCCCCCTAAGGTTTTCATCTAATCTTTTGAGTTGTTGCCGTCAACTTAATTCCATCTAGGTAGATCTTAAAAGAGCACATTCTTTTATGTATTTATTTCTTTTTAAAAGCACATTCTTTACTAGTTTAGTCAAACTATTCTTTAGCCAAACTTCGGGGATATCTTTGGTTTAGGTATCTTCTTTTTAGCAATGGCTTTATTGAGATCCAATTCACGTAGCTTAAGATTCACCGTGTAATGTGTACAATCCAGTGGTTTTTGTTATATCCACGGAGATATGTAACCACCACCATCATCTTCTAATTTTAGAACATTTTCATCAGCCAGAAAGGAATCTCATACCGATGAGCAGTTTCTCCTTCTCCCCCCGCTAGCCAGGGAGCCACTAATATCCTTTCTGGATCCCCATGGATTTACCTATCCTGCACATTTCCTCTAAATGGAACCATGCAATATGTGGCCTTTTATGGCTGCCTTCATTGATGTAGCATGATCTTTCCGTGATTCTTCCATATGGTCACATGTATCAGGACCTCCTTCTCTTTTATGGCCAAAGACCATTCCTTTGTTCGACCTCCAGCTTCTGTTCATGAGACGAGAGGCATGCAAGTTGTTCCCACACGTTGGCTATTAGGAATCCTGCTGCTGTGTGTGACCCTTCAGGTGAGTGTTGGTGTGCCCGTGGGCTGTCATTGCCTCGAGTAGACTGCTCTGGGTGGAAAGGCCGGTGAGTGCTGTGGTGAAGCATTTGGCAGTTTGATCCCACCCAGCTGCTCCACAGAAGCAGAGACTCGGTGCTCTGCTCCTGGGAAGATGACAGCCTCAAAAGTCCCATGGGGCAGTTCTGCCCTGTCTCCTGCATGGGTGTCACCTACCGACAACAGCCTGGTGACTGTGCTTAAGGATGTTGGGGTCTGTGCAGCTGCGTTCCCAAAGTGGCTGACCCTCTAAGAATCCCAGCAACCAGAAGAGTTCCAGTGTCTCCACCTTCTCCCCACCATTTGTCTTTGTCTGTCTTTGTCATGTTATCCATATGATCCCCTGTCATCTTAATAGGCTCCCATTCTCTCACTGCCATTGAGTTGAGGCCGACTCACAGTGGCCCTACAGGGCAGAGGAGAACTGCCCCTGTGAGTTTCCCAGACTGTCACTCTTATAGGAGTAGAAAGCCCTGTTGTTCACCTCCACCTGAGGGGTAGTTGGTGGTTTTGAACTGCTTACCTTGTGGGTCACAGCCCAATGTTAACCACTACTAATCTTCATTGTACGTTTACTGAGATCAACGGCCATCAAGTCAGTTCAGACTCAGCGTGACCCTAGATCGGATTTCCGAGGTTGTCAACCTTATGAATTTGAACTGTTGACCTTGCAGTTAGCATCCAATGCTGGGCACCACTCTAAGTATGATTTAAACCTTCCAGCACCCCTGTGAGGTAGGTACTGTTATCATCCTCATTTTACAGAGGAGGAAACTGAAGTCGCCAGAGATTATGTAATTTGTTTGACCCCTGAGCTAATAATTGTTAAAGGTGGAATTCAAATCATCAGTCGTTTAGCTCCGGGCTCTGTGATTTTAGCTGTTGTGTTCAACCGCCTCCCATAGGTAATGATACCAACAGGCTTACTGTGTGTCCTGTCGTGTGTATTAAAATGGGTGTTTAATTTTCACAAATGGTATTGAGGTACCTATCTCTTTTGTACCTTACCTTTTCCACTAAGCTCTGTGTTTTTAAAAATCCATCCATACTGTGCCATCTAGTCTGTTGCTTCCAGCTGCCCGATGCTGCCGATGGTGTGACAGCATGCATTCGCAGCTTTGTATTGTCTGCTCTCCCAGGGAGCTGAGCTCTCAGGCCCTCATGCTGTAGCCTCTTCTTTGACCACTCCCTAACCCAGCCTGCCTGGCTACTAACGGCAAGATCAGGAGTTCTAAACCACCAGCCAGTCCATGGGAGAAAGAGGAGGCTTTCTAGTCCTGTAAAGAGTTACAGCCTCAGAAACCCACAGGAGACAGTTCTACACAGTCCTATAAGATTGATGTCAGTGAGGGTTTTTTTGTGTTTGTTTTTTAAGCACTTCCTCAAAGATGCTTCAGTGCTTCAGCAAATGATAATGACAATAATAATGAATAATAATAGCAACAAAAACAAAACCCATGGCCATCAAGTGAATTCTGAATCGTGACCACCATGCAGGATAGAAGCAGAATGGCTCCTTTGGGTTTTTGAGGCCAAATCTTTACGGGACCAGACTGAAGAGTGGCTGCTGGGTTTGAACTGCTGACCTTGTAGAACCCAGTGCTTAACCTGCACCACCAGGGCTCCTTAACAAGAACACTAGCTCACACGGACTCTGGGCTTTTGTTCAAGGCCACAGGCATAGTCCAGACCACCTCGTTCCAATGTCCTCATTTTACAGGTGAGGAGCTTAGAGAAAATGACTTGCTCAAACTTATGCAGCCAGAATCCAGACTCCCCACTTCTTATTTATGTCCATCATCTGTTCCCTCCTCTTCCTCCTCCTCCTCCTCCTCCTTCGTTCTTCCCTGCCGCTCACAGACCGAAGTCCATTTCTCTTCCCCAACTCCCATCCTCAGCTGCCAGAGAGCAGGCTAGTCAGAACACAGGCGCCCTCTGCCTCTTTGTGGGCTCCTGCTACCACCACGCACAGCCCCTTTGCTTAGGAACCTGGGATTTACTGTCAAATCCTGTTCCTCTCACAGCAATGTTGCCACTGTAATCCTTCTTCCTCTCTTTTCAAAATTGCCACCTGGCTTTGTGTCTATAGTCTGAGACATGCTGATATAAGAGGCTACAGGAAAAGACTTGGCCTCATTCTCGTCCTGGAACTGGTTACCCGCCGCCTCGTGCCCCCAGCTCCATGCCCTTCACTGGTCTCATTCTTTCCTCTAACTTTTCTCTCTTCCACCTCTCCATTTAATTCATTCAACAGATAGTTATTGACTATCTCCTAAATGGGAAGAGCAGGAGCCCTGGTGGTGTGGTGGTTACGTATTGGGCTTTGATCTGAAGGGTCAGCAGTTCAAAACCATCAGCTGCTCCTTGGGAGAAAGACAGGGCTTTCTATTCCAGTGGACAGTTACAGTCCCTGAAGCCCAAGGGGGTGGGGGTGGAGTGCTTACTATGAGTCAGCATTGACTCGATGGCAATGAGAATAAATGGGAAGAAAATCATCCTGGTGGCACTATGGGTTAGGCACTGGGCTGTTAACTGTAAGGTTGTGGTTCATACACACCAGCCTCTCTACAGGGGAAAGTTGAGGCTGTCTGCTCCCATAAAGATTTACAGTCCTGGAAACCCTATACAGGGTCGCTGTGAACTGGAATTGAGTTGATGGCTGTATTAGTCTGGGTGGACTAAAGAAATAAATCCAGAGACACTCATCTATATGTAAGAGAGAACTTTATATCAAAGAGTAATTGCATATTGGGAAAACATCCCAGCCCAGTCCAGGTCAAGTCCATAAGTTGATGACATTAGCCCATATGCCCGATACCAGTTTATAAAGTCGTCTTTAGACTCATGCAATACATGCAATGATGCTGAATGCAGGAAGATCACAGGCCAGTGGGTGGAAAGTCTTGTGGATCTAGTGGCAGTTGAAGCATCTCAGCACTGGTGTGGGTCTCCACGTGGCTCCTCCGGCTCCAGGGCTCTGTCTCCATCAGCGTAGTTCCATCTGGCTTGTCCTCAGGAATGTGAAGCAGAGAGAGTGTGTGTCCCGCCTCCAGGGAGGAAGACAGGAGTTTCCAGAATCTTCCGGAGAAAGTCGTGCCCACACAGAGGCACCAATGGCTATGACCTGATGGACAGGCCAGACTCCACCCCATTCACACGGTGACAGATTATGTAACAGCCACAGTGGCAGTGGATTTTTTTGGCTTCTATCAGAAGAAAATTGTCTTGGCACTTCAATGGATTAAGCATTGGGCTCCTAATCACAAGGTCTGTGGCTCAAGACTATCAACCGCACTGTGGGGGAAGAATGAGGCTGGCTGCTCCTGTAAAGATTTACAGGTTTGGAAATCCTGGGGATTAGTTCCTGTGTTCTGAAGGGTCAGTATCAGTCAAAATCACCCCCATGGTAGTGGTTTTTGGTTTGGGTTGTGAGGGAAGAACTCTCCACATCGCCGAGAGGGTATTAAGACGATCTAGAGATCAGAGTCGAGGCTCTGTCCTCCAGGGACTCACAATCCGATTCAGGAAGCAAGACGTGTGAGAAGTTACTGTGTTTCCCATGATGCAACGCTGCATCCCGAGAGAGGCCATGCAGCAGCCCTTAAACCCAAGCGAGTGAGACTGGGTGGCTTGGCGCACTGGCAGGTAGATGACCTGGGCTTGAGCTCCAGGTTCGTCGGCGCTGGATGCGTCTCCTTGCGCCAGCTACTTGACCTCTCTAAGCCTTAACTGCCTCTTCGGTGACGTCGGGATGATACGCTCACAGGCCGTTTGGGTAAAATACCCAGCAGTGTGCTGCACATGCTCGGAGGGGGTGATCAGGAAGCAGGTGGCTTGGAAAGGCACACCTGTAGCAGGGATTTGAGGGAGTGCAGGTTATCCCACTGACCCCTACCCTTTCCTCTCTGACTCTCCTCCCTCTCTCCTGATAAGGAATTATTCTCAGTCCTACCACTTGATGTATGGGAACTGCTACACTTTCAATCACAAGAACAACTCTAACCTCTGGATGTCTTCCCTGCCTGGGATCAACAACGGTGAGCACCTGGCCCTCCCTTCCCTCCACCCCAGACCCGGCCTTCAAGTGCGTTGTTAGCACTGCACCATGTGTTAGTCTGGGTAGACTAGAGAAACAAATTCATAGACACTCACATGTGCATAATGAAGGGCCTTATATACAAGAGCAACTGAACATTAAGAAAGCATCCCAGCCCAGCCCAGATCAAGTCCTTAAGTCTGATATTAGCCCATATGCCCAATATCAATCTATAAAGTCCTCTTCAGACTCACAGATCACATGCAATGATGCTGAATGCAGGAAGATCACAGGCCAGTAGGTGGAAAGTCTTGTAGATCCAGTGGCGTTGTAAGCATCTCAGCGCTGGCAGGGGTCGCCACGTGGCTTCTCCAGGTCTAGGGTCCTGGCTGCATCAGGGTAGGTCCATGTGGCTTCTCCTCAGAGATCTCTCGTCAGCTTTGTCAGTAGAGAGTCTCCAAGGAAGTGAGCAGAGGGACAGAAGTGTCTCCTACCTCCAAGGAGGAAATCCAGGAGTTCCCAGAATTCTCAGGAGAAGGCCATGCCCACAATGAGAGGCCTCATTGGTTATAGCTTGATTGACAGGCCAGACTCCACCCCTTCACTCGTAATCCTCTCAAATTGACACCAGATTATGTGACTACCACATACCACCAGGGCATCTTCGACTCCAGCTCAGGGGGTGGTCAAATTCATTTGTAGGTCCTCCTGGCCTTGGTGTACTGGGACCATTAGCCACTAGGCAAGGTGGATGGGTGGCTTTCTGACTCCAAAGCCTTCTCCACACTCCTTGCTCTCTCCCATGCCCCCAGGCCTGTCCCTGGTGCTGCGCACGGAGCAGAACGACTTCATCCCATTGCTGTCCACGGTGACGGGGGCCAGGGTCATGGTGCACGGGCAGGATGAGCCTGCCTTCATGGATGATGGTGGCTTTAACTTACGGCCTGGCGTGGAGACCTCCATCAGCATGAAGAAGGCAAGGAAGCTGACGGGGAGACCAGGGAGGAGAGCCTCAGGTTGCAAAGGGCCTGGGAGGTGAACTTGACCGCCAACAAGACTGCGGAATGGAAGGAGATCCTGTCGGGTGGGCACTGAGTCTGTGGAGGTCTTTAGGGGCTGGCAGAGTGAGCATTGAGGAGTAGGGCCAGAAGGGGGTGGGTTCTAGGTGAGGAGATGCTGAGAAAGGGCCAGAGGATGTTCAGGAATGGCTCTCTGGGTCTGGCGCCCTTGGAAGTGGCCCTGGGATGGGCACTGGGGGCTGCTGGGAACGCATGTTTGGAGAAGGTAAGCTGAGAGAAGAGCCTGGTAGGATGGGCGATACCCCTGGGGCTGAGGGAAGAGTAAGTCTCGGCCGTGGCCTGGGCCACTTGCTCTGGCTTCTCATCTCCTGGAATGGGGGTTTATAGGAAGCCCTGGACAGACTTGGGGGCAACTATGGTGACTGCACTGAGGATGGCAGCGACGTCCCCGTCAAGAACATTTACTCTTCGAACTACACACAGCAGGTGAGGTCCCACCCGCGCACACGCACGGCTGGTACAGAGGAGAGTGCTGTGTGAAGGTGGGCCCCGGTGGGAAGGCTGGTGGAAAGAGAGCTGTCTTGCTCATTCCGGCTGGTGGGGCGGAGCGGAGGTGGTTCATCGGGCCGGAAGCCCCTTCCCTCTTCATTCTCCTCTCTTCCAGGTGTGTATTCACTCCTGCTTCCAGGAGAACATGATCAGGGAGTGTGGCTGTGCCTACATCTTCTACCCAAAGCCCCCTGCGGTGGAGTACTGCGATTACTGGAAGCACAGCTCCTGGGGTGAGACTCCCCTGCCCCTCCCCACCTCAATCCAGGACTTTCCCATGAGCGCTCTCCTTTCTCTGTGGGGATGGCCTACAGCTGCCACCAGCCCTGATACATTCGCCCTCTCACACTTGTTTTTCAATGAGCTGTCTCCTCTCTCTCTCTCTTATCTATTACAGTTTCCTCTGTTTCGGCTTCTGTATGTTAAGGAATTTCCCCCCCTCCCCCCTTTGTTTAAAAATAACCTGCAGTGTAAGGAAACCAGAGGCCTGGAGGCAGGTCTCAAGCAGGAAGGGGCCAGCCATTCTGGTGACCCCATGCAGTCCATGGAGACCTTTGTGCCAACCGCCCCTCCAGCCCCCACCCCCAGGGAAGCGTAGCAGGGAGGGCTCTTGCCAACGCCTTCTTCGGCAGCTGCTGGGAAGAGCAGACAATTCACGGGGACACAGGAAGCCGTGAGTGGAAGTTCCACGTATTGAGCTCCTTCCTCCACACTCGCTCGTCCATGAGTGTCCCGCAGGGTCCATCCTGAATGCATTCCACAGTACGGGTGTCCACTCTTAAATCGAATACCCCTTACCAGACGTGATCGTGGACACGTTTCTTCCCCATGGAGAGCACAGTAAGAAAGTTGGGGGCCAGTACTGGAAGACAAGTCCCTCTTTGGGTCTCCTTCATTGTGGTTGTTCAGTGAACCGGGCAGCCGAGAGAAAGAGCAAAAATCGCAAATGAAGAGAAATAGGTAGCACATCCTGGGACATGTGCTCTTGTCTAGCCAGAGGTGGCCTTGGCTGGCACAGGGGACCCTCCCCAGGTTCCCTGGGACTCTCCCCCAGGGTGGGGGAGGAGGTAGAGGATGCTGGGGGAGAAGAAGTCTTCCCACTCCTCAGGAAGCAGGGCGGACGTGGGGGACTTGGGGACATCCAGTCTCCTTTCCTCCTGAAGGATTGTGTACTACGCGGGCTTCCCCACCTCGGTTCTGCCCGTGTGTCTTTCTGCTTGACTTCTTTTCTGGGTCCACTCAAGCCCCATCTGCTCCCCTTGCTGCCTCTACTTCCTGTCTCTCCGACCTTAGAGCCCATCGGACGTGGAGGGAAATTCGGAGGCCACTGCATGCCACCTTTTCTTTGCTCATATGAGCAAACTGAGGCCCGGAGGGTGGGGTGAGGAGGACATGCCACATCACAGGACATGCAGAGCCCAGACTCCTAGCACCCGACCCTGACTCCCAAACCATTGTTTCTAGGTTGCTGGACCTAGAAATATTTATTGCTGCGGAGTTGTGAGGATCGGGGTGAGGAACTAACAACTATAGGCCAGGTCTGCTGGGTTTCCTAAGGATGGCTTCCTCCCCAGAGAACAACGTCCGGCGGCTTCCAATCCTGCTTACTTTTAGCTCCTCGGCTCTGGTAGATGAAGGAGTCTGGGGGAGAAACGGCCCCCGCTCCCCCAGGCTGGGGGTGTAAGTGGGGGATCTGAGTGATGGCATACAGCAAGGACAATGTGATCATCTTCATCTTCCTTGGGAAACGGGGAGTGGAATCTATAATCCCACTCTCCCCTCCCCCCTGCCACTCCCAATTGCTTATGATTCCATTTATTTTGCCGAGTAGGGGTCAGCAAACTTTAGAGATGGAAACGCCAATTCTGTCCCTCACAACAATTTAAAAATCATTTGAGAGCCCTAAATATGTCTTGATGAACAAATCACCATTCTCTGAATCATGTCCTTTACATTTTTTTCTGATTGACTTTAGAGCTACATGTATGTACTGAAAGAGCCGTAGCTCGCTGACCCCACTGGTAGAGGGATCCTTGAACAGAAGCGTAGGGGGTACGCTTGACAGGATGGGACTCTGCCGCCCCTCTTCCAAAGAGACTGCCTTTCACCATCCCACTGGCAATATAGGAGTTTCATAGCCAAAGGCTCTTCGAAATGAATACGTTTGCTATGCCATTTCAGCAGGTGTGCGTTGGGGTCTGATCGAGGGCACACAGACTAAAATGCTCCCCATTTCAGCCGCTTACACAGTACAGTTTCGTGACGTGAGTTTTGGTCACTAAGTTGTGCAACCAGCACCACCGTCCATTTCTAGATTTTTTTTAATCACCCCCAATAGAAACTTAGTACCACCCCTAAGCAGCATCATCTTTTTTGGGAGGTAACAATTTTATTGATGTTCAATTCATATACCATACAATCGACTCATTTAGAGAATACAATTCATTTTGGTTTTTTTAGTAGATTCTGAGTTAGTGCGACTCCTGGCCCCCCAGCCAACTAAATTGTATAATCTGGTTTTCATCATGCCCTAAAGAGATATCACACCCATGAGCCTCTCTCCAATCCCTCTTTCCTTTTGTGTCCCGCTGTATCCCCAGATGCCGGGGACTACTCCTCTACTTCTTACTCTTATGGGGTTGCCCATCGCGGACAGTTCACTCCATGGGGGGATCCAACACGGGGCCTTTGGAATGGCCTCCTTCCCTTGGCCCAATGTTGTCCGTCCCGAATCTGAATGCCGTTCCTCCTCATGGCTCCGTCATGTTTGATGTCCCCCGATCGTTCGTGATCAACCGTGGGGCTGTTTCTACTTTGGGGCTATCAGCCATAAGGCTGCGATGCAAGTTCCTTCCCATTTCTGTGTGGGATAGTGTTTCGATTCTTCCACATGCTCAGAAGTGGAATTTCTGGGTTATAGGGTAGCTTGAGCTTGAACGCCTTTAGAAATGGCCAGACTCATTTTCCTAAGCGGCGGCGCCCCTTTACGGTTAGTCCCCCCAGCAGTACAGGAGGGTGCCAGGTCCTCTACGCGTTTGCCAGCACTGGTTGCTGTCTGTCTGTTAGATGACAGACAGCTGAGGTTGTCTTCTCTCGTCCAGAGGTTAGCGTCTCAGAACCCAAAGGGGGGCTCTACCCTGTCCCGGAGGCTCGCTGGGAGCCAGGGTGGGCTCCACGGCTGTGCGTCGGGTGTTTGTTTCTCCCCCAGTGGGTGTGAGATGGCATCTCCTTGTTCTTACACACTCATCCTTTCCACGTTTCTTTGTGACGTCTGAGAACTTTGTTCGTTTCTCTCACATCTTGACGCACGTCTGTTCTTGCTTTGCGCTTCCTCTCTTCCCTGTCTTTCTTTCTTCACTTTGTTCTCCACAATCACTCAAAAAAACCATTTTATTGGGGGCTCGTACAACTCTTCTCACAATCCATCCATCCAACCATTGTATCAAGCGCATTTGTACATGTGTTGCCATCATCATTTTCTTTTGTTTTGTTTTGAATCATTTTATTGAGAGCGCATACAGCTCTTATCACAATCCATACATCCATCCATTGTGTCAAGCACATTTGTACATTTGTTGCCATCATCATTTTCAAAACATTTGCTTTCTACTTGAGCCCTTGGTATCAGCTTCTTATTTTTCCCTCTCCCTCCTTCATGAACCCTTGATAATTTATAAATTATTATTATTTTTTCATGTCTTACACTGACCGATGTTTACCTTCACCCACTTTTCTGTTGCTCGTCCCCCTAGGAGGGGTTATATGTAGATCATTGGGGTCGGTTCCCCCTTTCTCTGCCCTCCTTCCCCTTCTGGTATGGCTACGCTCAATATTGGCCCTGAGGGGTCTTCCCTGTTTTTCGATGCTGCACGAATACTCATGAGAGGCACCGTTGTTGTCGTCACACCCTAGGGTGGTCTGGTGAAGCGGGTGCCCAGGGACACCGAAGTGAGCAGGAGCCGCTGGGGTTTGGGGTGGAGATGGTGGTCATGCCCTAGGGAACAAGGCTCCTCTCTGCACCCACAGGCTACTGCTACTATAAGCTCCAGGTTGCCTTCTCCGAGGACAGCCTGGGCTGTTTCACCAAGTGTCGGCAGCCATGCAGGTCAGTGTCTCTTCCCCCAGGTCCCAGTTGGGGCAGCTGGGGTTGGCTGGGGAGAGGATGGGCAAGCAGCTAAGTGTTTTCCATGGGAGAGCGCTGTCCCTGAGCACCTTCCTTTGTCTCCAGTGTGACCAGCTACCAGCTCTCTGCGGGTTACTCCCGGTGGCCCTCGGTGACATCCCAGGTAAGGTGGGACAAGGAGCCGTATGGGAAGATGTGTGAGGGTGTGCCTGGTGGCAGAGTGGATTACGCATTGGCCTGCTCACCTCAAGGTCAGCAGTTGGAAACCACCAGCCGCTCCGCAGCAGAAAGAGGAGGCTTTCTGCTCCCATCAAGAGTTGACAGTCTCGGAAACCCACAGGGGCGGCAGGGTAAACCAGCCCCTGACAGATATCATGGGTTCCATGGGAGCAATCGTGTGGCAATAATATATAAAGATTCTAGTAAAGTCATAGAGAATAAGAGAGAGAGGAGAGAGAGTACAATAAAAGAGTCAGACACATTTCATGGTAGCATGCTCACCTCAGCCCCTCTTGGTGGTCCACATGGGGATGGGAGACGAGAGGAGGAAGGAGGTTTATTTCTAACCAAGGCTTATATATACTTGGGGGTATGTAAGCCCTTTGATTACAGGTAACCATATATGTCACAAGAAGGGGTTGTACCATAGGCAATACAGCAATGGGACAAGGACGATCTAGGGGTATACACACAATAGGAAGAGCAGGGATTAGGGGTACACATGTGACAAGATGGGTGGATCCTAGATTCATGATGGCGGCCTAACCTTGATTGTCCTGGAGCAGCTTATTCTGAGGGCTCCCCAGGGAAACAATCACTATCCTTATCAGTAGGGTTTGAGCCCCACCAACGGTGGACCAGACAGTAGTCTGGTTGCTCTGCATGGCTGATGCCTTCAGGGAGATAACTTCTAACCAGCTTGCTTCCAAGTGTGCTACGATCATTTACATGTGTTGCAAGCAGTGCCCTAGGACTGGCATTTTTTGGGGGAGACACACTGGGGAAAAGCCTTTTTGTATCCCACACAGGGGCAGTTCTACTCTGTCCTCTAGGGCCACTAGCAGTCAGCATGGCCTGAATGGCAGGGAGAATGAGTGTGGGGGGGGGGGGGGGGGGGGGGGGCGCGCACACGGTCCTTGTTGAGTGTCTATATGTGGAGTCTGTCCCATCTCCCCAACCTTGGAAGTCTAAAGAGAACAGGGGTCACCCACTGATGGCCCTATTCTTCCCAGGACTGGGTCTACCGGATGCTGTCTCGACAGAACAATTACACCATCAACAACAAAAGGTCAGTCCGAGCCTGGCCCCAGCCTGGCCAGGAGTCCCTCGGAGGAGGAAACAGATCGAGGAAGAGAAATGAATGACTGCAATCGACTTGGGGGAGGGTCTTTGTCTGTGAAGGTCTGAGGAGCTAATCCTTTGCCCTTTTTTCCCAACCTCACCTGCACACCGAAGAAATGGAGTTGCCAAACTCAATATCTTCTTCAAGGAGCTGAACTACAAAACTAACTCTGAGTCTCCTGCTGTCACGGTACGTCCTGCCTCCTTGAACCTGTGACTCACGTCTTGAGAGTCTGAGCAGGGTGGCAGGCTGGCAGAGAAAGCAAGGCTTGCCTCTGAGGTGCCAGGGGACTTGGCCTCTAAGATAGGAGTCTTAGAGGGATCAAGGTGAGGGGTTAAGGGAGTGAGGGGAGGGTGAGAGGGAACCAGGAGCTGTGTGCTTGCAAAGGAGGGGAACAGACGGGCCACCTAGGGGCTGAGTGGAGTGGGCGGAGTCCTAGAGAGAAAGGACAATGTCTCGGTTGGGGTGGGGGCTGTGCGACCAGAGCCCAGCTCCTCTGCCCCAGTGGTCTGCGTGCCTGTCCCCCTCACAGATGGTCACCCTCCTGTCCAACCTGGGCAGCCAGTGGAGCCTGTGGTTCGGCTCCTCCGTGCTGTCTGTGGTGGAGATGGCGGAGTTCATCTTCGACCTCCTGGTCATCACATTCCTCATGCTGCTCCGGAGGTTCCGAAGCCGATACTGGTCTCCTGGCCGAGGCGGCAGGGGTGCCCGGGAGGTGGCGTCCACTCCAGCGTCCTCCTCGCTCCCCTCGCGCTTTTGCCCCCATCCCACATCCCCGTCCCCACCTCAGCCTGGACCCACCACCTCCCCAGCCTTGACAGCCCCCCCACCTGCCTATGCCACTTTGGGTCCCCGCCCATCTCCACCAGGCTCCGCAGAGGCCAGCTCTTATGGCTGTACAGTGGCAGGGGAGCCCTGAGGGGGGCAAGCAGAGTGCCCCCCACCCAGGCAGGCGTGTCTTTTAGTGGGAGGGGGCAAGCCTTGGCGGGCTGCAAAGATGACTAGGCTTTTCTCTTCACAGCTGCTTGGCTGCCTTTGGTGAGGCGGAGGGAGGGAAGCAGGTTGGGGAAGGGGCTCAAGAAGCTTCCCTAGAGATGGTTCAATGCCACAGCCCAGAATCACTGCTGTTCCTGCCCTGTTCCCCCTGCCCTTGCCTCTAGAGCACTTTGATTCCCCACCTAACCGGAGACCCGAACTCGGGCCAGCCTCGAGGCACTGTCCTAGGTAACGAGGCACTGTCCTAGGTAACGGCTGGGGACCAGAACAAAACACAAACAAGGGCACACAAAGGCGGGTATGGGTTTCCTCCCCAGACAGGACACAGGATGGAAGCCAGCCCTGGATTGGCGGGGTCCCACTGCTCCTCTTCTTGACCTTGGGTGGGGAACCCCACCTGAAAGCCCCCTTTATTTGTTCTTGGGCAATTCCCCTTCCCTGATTTCCCCAGGGCAGGGACTGAGGCTGACCAACGCCATGAATGGCTTGGCCATTCCCTGTCAGCCTGAGGACATCTCCAGCCTGATCTACCCTCTCTCTGCCTGTGCAGAGGCGGCCTTGTGCTTGTGCCTCTGCCCTGGGCCCTTCATGCTGCAGCCGATTCGATCAAGCGCTAGCTGCAGCCTGAGGTCTCCTCTGCCTTCTGACCTCGGACTCCTGTGCATCCCTCAGAACCCTTCTCAGATGCCAGCACTTTGGGGAAGCCTTCTGCCCCATCATTCCCGCTCTCCTCCACTCCCAGAATGCACTATGCCACCTATTGGAACGCAGATGCTGTAGTGCGGTCTTGTATAAGCTGACCGGGAGGGAGTGCCCTGTGATTGGGGATGGGGTTTTGCTCCTTTACATAGGCTCAGGGCCTAGCCCTAGGGCCCGCTCGGTGCAAACAGGTAGATAGATGCTCAATAAAATGTTTGTGGCATAAAGAAACGACGACAGAGTTGGATGGAGGTATCACAAAGGCAGAAGGGAGTGAGACTCCCTGGGAGGCCCTCAGGAGGGAGGGAGGGAGGGAGGGGAAAGGCTTCCGTGGAAGTGACCATTCCTCAAGGCTACAGAAAATGACCTCCCCTAACTTCACAAGGGGGAGAAAGAATCACCATCAACATCAGCCTAAGGCGTCTAGACTCCTGTGAGGTTGACGTCAGACATGCCTCCCTGCTCAAGCTTTCTGCCAATTCTGACGCCAACTGTTCCCCCCATGCCACTCGCTCTACTTCTCTGCAGGGTCAGTAACTCACTGCAACAGCCATGTAGAACTAACAGATACTCACCATTATGGGCTTATTAGGGAAGTCATCGGTTACAGTTCAGGATCAGCATGCTCAGGATACACTTCTTCGATCAAGACAACCCTTTCTCAGCCATGCCTGCAGGGAGGACTGACTCTCTCTGGCCCTTGACCCTCAGCCTGACTCCTACCCTGTTCAGAGGAGTGTTGTAAAAAACGCTCATCACTCTACCAATAAGTACTCACAGGCACACTACTCCATCAGCCAGCCTCGTGCATGAAGACACTCCGTTTTCTCTCTCCACGGGCTGGGAAGCCCGCAGCACTATCTCCGATGGCTCTCCTGGCTCTGCCACTACCTCTTCTCTGCTACTGCTTCTCACCACCTCTGGTGTACTGGCTCTCTGTGTCCTGGATCCAGGAAGTTCAGGGCCAAAGGACATGCTCTGTTGCTGGCTCTTCCTTCTTGATAGTAGTGAATGCTCCTTTCTGCTGCCCCTGGGATCATTTATCTCAAGGCCAGTGGGATAGTACAATCGACCGTTCCCTACATTAGTATGCAGTCTACCCCATCTGCATGGCCCCACCCCCATAAAGGAGCCACACAGCCTACTTACAGTATAAGCAAGCTATCCAAGCTCCCTTCATATTTGCACAGTCCCCCGGTGGGAGCCATGAAGACCATGGCGACCAGGGCCATTATATTGAATCAGTCACAGGGCTGTTAGAAGAGTGGGGTCATCCCGCTGGATCTGGAGAGCTGTTTCTCTGTGGGTGTTGAGCATCTGTTTTCTGCTCATGATCCATGTTTGAGTGAAAGAGGGGAGGCATTGGTGCCATTGGTGCCATCCTTTGGGAGACTCACACATTGTCTGAACCTCCACTTCTTCCCCAAAGTTTGTTGCCATCATCACAAGCCCTCTGCCTCCGTTTGCTGAGTCCGCTCACCCCCCTGCCACAGTATAATACCCTCGGCACCCACTTCCCCATCTTGCCATCAGTTTCCAGGTGCTGGCACAGGAGGGAGAGATTGGGGCCAGGTTCCTCTGGATTCTCTCTCCAACCTTGTGTATCTCAGCCTCATCCTCACACAGGGGACCATTCCAGCTTCAATGAAAGAAGACATGGCGGTTCAGGGGGCAGTCAAAAGATATCCGGATGGAAACTCTGGCTTTCTGCCTGCCCCGTTTCCTGCGCCGACACTAGCATTTGTCTTGGGTCTCAGAAGTTACCCTCCTCCTCATCTTTGGGAATACCTCCCCTGCCATCTTGGTCTTATTCCCCTTGTTCCTCGATCTCTCTCCTGAGGAGCCAACAAGAGTTAACCTTGGGGGAGGGGAGCAGAGAGGTAGACAGTGTCACCACCAGGAACTGACGTGAAGACTTCTGACTTCCCTTTCCTAGTTTCAAGCCCGTGCGGGGAAAATGGTGTCACAACACCGCCTTCTGCCCCAGGGAACCTTTTACCTTCTCTGTTGCAGCCTCAGCCCTGCCCCACCTCCCCTAGGACCTCTCCCCAGCTCCCTGTCCTTTGCTGGGGCGAACAGCAACTGTTAGATGAAACTGGATCCCCCGTGGTCCCAGTTTACCCAGTCAACCCTTATCCAACCAGCCTGCCATCCAGGTCTCCTTCTGTGACCCACTCTGCACTCCTGGCTCATAGAATCCGGCAGGATGGCAGGACTGAAGCCAGACCCACATGACCTGGACTCGGAAATAACTCTTTGGATCACTAGCTGTTGCTGTAGGTGAAGTGTGTGTGTGTGTGTGTGTGTGTGTATGTGTGTGTGACAGAGAGCGAGCGAGAGAGAGATGTCTCTACTGCTCCAAGGTCTTTCCTATTCATCCCTTTGTTGCCCTTGTAATCCCTCTACAAGCCCAGTCACTTCAGACCCCCTGGAGTCTATTCCACTCCAGTTCCTCCCTCCCTCCCTCCTCCCCATCACTTATTCCCCCCACCCCCAAGGGAGCAGAGTCTTACACTCTGACCTCCTCCAGGAGATGAGTTACTTTGCTTTCTTTTTGTAGGAATACTTTTTTTTAAAAGCTTTTTATTGTGAATTGGACGAAGGTTGAGACTAGTTGGCTTTTCATATTTCTAGAACTACCCCACTCCTTACCATCTTTTTCTATTTTTTCCCCCTCAAACAATGACACCGAACAGTTTAATACTGAATTTCTCAAAGCTTTAAACTTATTGGGTAAATAAACATCTCTGCTACACAATGAAAGTTATCCTCCATTTGTGTAATGACCTTGCCAGGTTGCAGACTATTAAAAATCCTTTGAAATGTTAAAAGAGGACACGGAAGGCATTTATTATTCATATAAACTATTAGTATTGTTACCACTGATGGGAGGGATGCTTACTAGGTAGCCAGTACTACTATGTAAGTGACATGCATTGAACCATCAGGCCAGCTCTGCAGGGGGTACTGGCGGGGTCTCATTGCCTGGGCAGGGGAGTGGTCCAAGGTGCTCAGGTCTTCCCCTCTGAATCTGGGCACTCTGACTCTAGCACTTTATTCGAACAATAGGGTGCTGCTTCTCCGAGCGGTCTGCTTCTGTTCCTCTTGCACTGAAGCGTGGCTCTCCCTGGGTGTTGGTGGAGGAGCCTAGCTTCCACCCTCCCGTTTCCCCAAGAGAAGGAGGATGGGTGGAGGGAGGATGGCTCCTTGCAGTGGTGGGGAGCAGCAGTGGTAAGCACAGGCTTGCCTGTTTGCTTACTTACCAATCTGTAGTGAACACTTCGCACACCTTTTCACCACTCCGAAGGCCCTGCTTCTAGATCTGGCTGGCATCTGTTTCTCTCCCAACCCCACTGTAGCTTCCTCCAGAATGACAAACCAACCAACCAAAAAACCCTAATCAAGCTCACTGCCATCCAGTCAATACTGGCTCACAATGACTCTATAGGGCAGGGTAGAACTGTGCCTGTGGGTTTCCGAGACTGTAACTGTTTAAGGGAGTAGAAAGTCCCGTCTTTCTCCCATGGAGCAGCTGGTGGTTTCAAACTGCTGGCCTTGTGGGTAGCAGCCTAACACGTAAGTAACTACTACAGCACCAGGGATGCTTGAGAATCGCAGCCTGATGCATAACCACTACGTCACAGAGCCCCTTCACATGTAGAGCTCTCACAGGGATGGAATGCCCGGTCAGCATGGGCTGACCTCTGGGAAATGGCTCACTACAGAGTCGCAAGTAAGTACAAGCAAACCCATGTACCTTGCTTAAGGGATCATCCACCCCAGGGCAGGGCCTAAGTTCTGTTCGCTTAGGCCCGGGGCTTCCACAGGGGAGACTTGAAAGAGCCAGGGGAAGTGGGCTCTGGGGACGGCAATAGAAAGAAGAAGCTAGGAGCTCGGGACCTCAGTCCTCTAAGCTCTCTCTCTGAACCCACCTCGACCTGTGGAGGGAGGGTCATGGTGCCCAGAGGTGTTCAAATGCCTATGGTGTCTTGTGGTGGGATTCCTTCTGGAGATGTCCTGCATAAATGGGGCAGAGACATGCAATACCCATCGAGTCCGGCTGGGGGCGTGTGACCCAAAGGGGCAGAAACAAAAGTGAGAATGAAAGTCTCCATCATATTCAACACGCTCCTGGACTGGGACAGAGGGCCCAGGGTTTTCTGCTGGCTCAGCAGGAACAGGTGTCTCCAGGCCTGCCTCTCCTCCCCTGTAACCTAGGAAGAGCCATCATAGGTATTTCTTGGTCTCTGTTCTGATGGAGGTATCAGAATAGCGAGCAGAAGGCCTTTGGGATTATACCGGATGGATCAGAAATGAAACAAGATAAAACAAAACTCGAAACCGGTTGCCCCCACATCATTTTTGACTTGTAGGGGACCCATGGGTGTTAGGCCGGGTTGACTAGAGAAACAAATCCAGGGGCACTCCTATAGGTGTAAGAGAAAGAGCTTTATATCAAGAGGTAATTATATATCAAGAAAACACACCAATTCAGTCCAAACTCAAGTCCCTACGTCCGATACTCCTCCGCAAGTCCCTCTTCAGACTCACGCAGTCACATGCCATGGTGCAGAATGCAGGACGATCACAGGTCAGTGGATGCAAAGTCAAGTGGATCCTAGGTCGGAGGAAACATCCTGGGGCTCCAGCAACTCACTGGGTGGCCAGCAGACAGGAAGGTGAAGGCAGAGGGAGAGAGAGAGAGAGAAACCCCGACCTCCAGAGAGCCATAGATCCCAGTGGCATTTCAAGGGAAGTTATCAGGCTGGGACCTGACTGACAGGCTAAACATCACCCCTACACCTTTGCATCTGTTCAGGTTGACATGAAATTAGGTAACTACCACACCAGGCGAAAGACTAGAACCGCCTCCCGGGGCCTTTTGGGTGTCATCTTTATGGAAACAGGTTACCAGGTCCTTTCTTCGGCGGTGCTGCAGGGTGCGTCTGAGGTGCCAACCTTTAGATGAGCAGGCGAGTGCAGATCATTTGTGCCACCCCGGCCCTAAGGTGGAAAAGGCTATATGTCATTTCCAAAGCTTTCTCCTGGAGGCGGTCTCATTAACCCTTTCAGCTGTTGCTACCCCCACTTAATACATCAGGTTCAGTAGAGGCCCTTACTTGAGGCCCACCCACTGGCTGCAGCCAGGACCAGCAGAGTCCGTGTGTCCAGGCCCCCACAAAGCAAAGTCACTGCCATCCATGGGGCGATGCTGACTCAATGTGTTCCTA